TCTGTAACAGACACAGCTTCTGAAACAAGAGAGATGAACATATCTCGTTCTTTATTGAAAAAATTATGCCATGTTAACATCCCAATCACGAATGGGAATTATATTATTATATTAAAAAAATAATTTAAGAATACATTTTTCAAAAATTGTCTATATTTCACGCACAATTACTGAAAAACTGTTCATATTTTTTAAAAAATGGACATGATCTTCTTTCAATATCTCTCTTTAAAGAATATATTATATTCAGTAAAAAACCTCTGTCTCCTATATTGCTCTTGTAAGAACTCTCTAGATATATTTTCAACCTATCCAATTTTCAACAAATCAGAGATTTTAAAGAAAATGGGACTTGCGCCATTCCCTTAAACAACTTATACGTTATCCGAGAGCAAAGTGTATTCAAACAATTTGGAGCCATTTATGACAAAATATTGAACTATTCTCAATGTACATATTGCGATCAGTGCAAGAGAGAAAAAGCAAATCATGTAAAAATGAAAATAGCAATGAATCTGAGCATTACAAAAACTTCATTAAACCTAGAATGTATAACATGGGTGTTTTTCAGGCGCCGCCAACTTTTGAACTTTTTCCAGTGTTAGTTTGGTGGAACTTTCTTCTAATTCGCAATTGTTATGTTTTCTGTCTATAAACAATTCCATATGGAGTTTGCATTTTCGGTAAACATAGGCATTTAATTCTTGAAATGTTTACGTGTTTTATATAAGTCGGGAGTATTTCACCCATCACAAGTTTCATACTTTCTCTTCAACATTTCTCGACCAACTGATTTCGTGGTAAATCCTCTAACCCCTCATTTGTATTGTGTGAAAGGAAATTACTAAATCTGGATTCAGGCCATCTGGACTCAGGTAAATTGCAAGTTTTAGTGAGATTGAAGCATTGAGCACGTTGACCACATAGTGTATCTAAGAATGATTTTGGATCCCGTAAAAGTACCTTTTTATAAATGAATTATTAGTCCGTTTCCGCAGAAGATGTACAGTATGTGTCAAAGACGAAATTGAATTATGGAAAAAGAACAATTTTTGGATGTTCGAATTAGAATCATGATATGCTGTAGATGGTTCAATAAATATGGAAAAAGGCCAGAAAGTGGTGAAAAGGAAACATTACCACTTTATATCATGGTTTCATTGGAGAACACTGGTTATTGTCTCGTAGAAATTTTACAATGAATAACTTTTTCAGGGATTTTGAGATTTTGAAAAATTGTTAACACTGGAAAAACTGCAATGAAGACATTGAAAAAAGAGAGTATGGGAGTTATTTCCTTTGAAATTTATCTAAATAACAACCGATATTTCTTCAAATATGTTTCGGCTTTATAGCCTGAATGACATTCGTCAGGAAGGTTCCGCATCCTCCATAGCATTCTGTTGGGCACAGTTTTTTTTTTTTTTTTTTTTTTTTTTTTTTTTTTTTTTTTTTTTTTTTTTTTTTGTAAATGAATCTGAAGGAAAGATGAAGATAGAAATTCACTTATTTAACAAAATCGAAGGTGAAGAAGACAAGATTGACCAAAATATTTGTAATTACACGTGAAAGAAGGAAACAAAATGCTGTGAAATAACATTATGGATGTTGAAGCTCTGAATGCATTTATTGTTTTTTTGATGTTTTTTTGGGATAGGAGGAAGTAAAAACTACCGTACCGTAAGGAATAAAAGAAGACAATAAGTTTTGAAACGGTTTTATAAGTTTGACGCTGCATGAAGACAAGGGATAAAAAATCATCAATACTCAAAGACCAAACAAATACGTGGCAAAATGCGGTGAATTAAGATAAAAAATTTGCAGGAAGTAATTCGAAGTTCAGGAATGTTGCGATGCTACATTGTTTTTCGAAGAAATACAAAAATGTAAGAGAATGTGCTCAGCATGTCTAAACCCTATCGGAAGGTAATATTTAAAAAAAATAATATTGCAGTTTATTTTTTTTTTTACTAACGGGTATTTTTCACCCCTAATATGTAAATAAGTCTAACTTACAGGGCATGCATCGTCGGGTTAACTGTTTAATACTTCTTTAAATTATTTATTGATATATTTACAATCATATTTGTCAAATTTACTATTTATGGAAATCAAATTGGCTAATTAACCTTCATCCTGTATTAAGGCATATTGATATCCCAAATTAAACTTTATTAACGTTTTCATGATCGCAAATGTTTTTATACCTGATGATCTTGTACTATTCATAGTTTACTTAAGTTTTTAAAGAAAAAGAAATTAAATAAATGTAAATATTACCTTTGATTTCTGCGGTGGTTCTCCTTAAAATCACTATCACCAACAATGAAGCAAAAAAATAACCCTTCATGCCGTCTCCTAGGAACAAAATCCTCGAAGCCTCACATTCTAAGACTAGTATAAAAGAACATTCCAAACACGCAGGATACTCACTTCAACGTCACACGTTATATCTTACTGCGGTTGATGAGGAAGTTTTTAATGTGTTCCAACTTCCGCGTTTTAAATACCGATTTGGTCACTGGCGAACATTTAGTAATAAATGTGAGAAAGTCTACAGTTACCTCATTGCAGAAACAGAAGCATTTGAAAAACACTTATATTTGTCTCAAAGTATGCAAAGATTATGGGTTTGAAATGGCATTTAAAATGGCATCCACGATATATTTTAATCAGTAATTAATTCACTTCTTAATTAATAAATGCAACTTAAAGAATACGTATTACACGCGTATTAATTTGGCTTTTTGTGCTTATAAACTAATAAAAAAGGCTTTCTGAAACTTGATGTAGATAAAATTTCGTCGACTTTTAACTTTCAATTCCTTCCTTTCCTTTCCTTCGTGTTCCTATCATTATCAAAGTTTCTGGATTCCATCAACTGCGTAATATCTCATCACTTATCACCCCTTTCATGCAAACACTTCTAAATTCAAAACTGATGAAACCACAAGAGAGCGCAAACTAACGAGGATAATCTCTCCGTTTCCTTTGACTATCTGTAGACTCTCGTCTTCACGAGTAAAGGTAAGAAAAAAGCTTTGCTTGACGATCAGTGCGCCTCTGATGACGAGTACTTTTATGTTAAAAACTTTTAATAATTACATTAATTCAAAGAAACCCCGACATGGATTCGAACCCAAATCACCTGTTTTACGCCCACTTGCTCAAACAAATTTAATTATTAAAATACATTTGTTGCTCAATAATATGATCACAATGTGGATTACTTTATTGTTGCGGAACATATTTCCGAGCGTATTTGCGTCCAAAAAAACTGACAGCGGGGTTACGAAAATATATATGAAAATTTGTAGTGCTTTGCGAGTTCATAATGAAAAGCATTTTAAAGACACTTGACGTGATTTCTGTGCCCAAACACGTGCTTTCAAGAGTTGCCAGATTCCGTAGCTCGCTGGTTACTTGCGGTATCCACGGCATGAAGTCTGAGAGTTTGAATTGCACCTTGGGCATGGATGCTTGGTTTATAGTGCTTAGACACGGCGAGGTATCTACCTTCAACACGCTACTCCTTTTCAGACATATTCCTGTATGAATGGTGCATGAATGTGACTGCCTCCCCACAGCAACTGTCTCTGGATCCATGGCTGGCACAATAGTCAGCCCTTGTGAGGTAACAAAACAGTTACTAAATGTCGACAAGCTAATAGAACCAGTTATTGGACTAGCCACCCATTAAAAATTACCAAGAATTTAATTGCAGTCGTGATTTCAATAGAAGTTCTTGAGGAAGTACTTAAAGGAGAAAAAATTAACATGTCACTAATAGTTTGCAGCAATCCGTGTTGCCATTCTTGGGTAAGGAAATTATGATGTCTAGGAGCAAAACTTGTCTTTTGATTCTGGGGTTTATTCAACACCACCTAGATAAATCTGTTTTTGGGGATGATATTTTGATTATCTAAAATTTTAGTAACATACGAGAGCTTCAGTGGGAGTTTTCCCCAACGAGATGGCCTCGATCCCTGAGATTGCTGTGGGAATATGCTTTCGGCGAACCTTCCAGCTTCTGCCATGACGCCGGAATTTGAATAATGAATGATTAGTAAATCCGGGCGTGTCAACTGTTAAGTTCATTAGAACCATAAGTTTAGTGCATGTTTTGTTATCGGGAGATGACGCCGATCGTCCCCCGCTAGTTAGTGAGATCATGCGCTGACCTACCGTCGACTAGCGGAGATTTGTCTTACCAGGTATCTCCCACTAGGGCACCTCCCCAGTCGGGACAAATTCTAATCTCCCAACCGGTCCCCTAGCATGAATAGTAGTGTAGTGATTGCGTGAGTAAGTAAGGGGCGAGGATGGGGCAGGGAAGAGGAAGAAAACACCGCGCGTGAGCCGTGGTGCGTTTGTTGCGCACTGCTCTGGTATTCGTTTGTTCTTCAATCCTCTTCTGTCTTTCATTATTGTTTAAGTTATCATTTTATTGATTTGGTTTATGAGACATTACACTTTTATAATGAATGGGTACTTCAGATATGGCTAAGGTTCAAACATTTCTTTAAAATTTCAGTGTTTACGGAATATAAAAAATTCATTAATACAAACATGCGTCCACATTTTCAGAAGGAAGGATCAAAAGAAAGAAATCAAAACAAAATAATCTTGAAATTAAATTTCAAATGATATTGTTCATGAAATTGGCTATTCAGTAATAGTATTACAGTAATCTTATATTATAACCATGAATAATATCTAATAATAACACATTTAATAATAATTTTCTCAATAGAAATTGGATCAAACAGACGCCGTTCTCGCCATTTTTATTTTCCTTTTCAGGACAAATTCACGTAGGTGATTTTCAAATAGAGAATTAAGTGAAGGCGAAATATACTAATGTGCTCCTTGAACTGCTAAGTAATTGTATGTTTCAGCGTAAATTACACTTTTATTTCCACATTTGTAAATCATTAACACTTGTATATAAAATTATTAGTGTATTTTCTTTCAAGTTAGTACCATTTTGCATTGTTTCATATACAGAACTGAGTCCTGTAAAATAATTTATATTTTATACAAATCTTCGTCACATCCGGACATCCGGAATTTAGTATTCACTCGTTAAATACGATGTTTTTAACATCCTTGTTTTGAGTGCAGTGTTTTTATTTGGTTGATATTTTATTTTTGAATTTAAAACAAATACTAATTAAAAATTAAAATAAGTTTTACTTATCTCTAATTATCACCATTATACTTATAATATTACAGTATACTTATCCATTCTTCACACAAATGTTACCAAAAAATAAATATCAGTTGGTAGAGTTTTAAATAATTTTAGTTATTATTTTTATATAATGCATTAAAATAATAAAATTTATTATTCTGTAAATTTATTTACTCTTTTGTCAGCGAAACATCAATTACAAATTCGTGAACTTGACAACCGTGATAAGAAATGCCCACTGAATGTTAAACACATGTGCTAAAGTTTACTAAAATTGTTTTGAAAACATCGACGGGTTGCGATAGATGTATTTTTAACATCGATTTTTAAAATTTGAGCATCGATGTTTCGAAGAATCGAAGTTTTGTTATCGACATCGCATCCCCAGTCTGTAGCACATCTAGTGGCAAGGATGACTTATCTTAAGTGAAGATGCGTGTCACTCGTAGTCACAAACTCATCCATCCTATTAATGCTTTTTACATAATTACCTTCGTTTTATTATTAATATTTACAAGAATCCTAAATTGTTTAGGAAAATTACATTACTATTAAGGTCTGTTTATAAAAAAGGATGTTTCTCACCTTTTTAAAAACATGCTAATATTTTTATTGGCTTTGAGAAATCCACTGACTTATTTTTGTAATTAAGTCCAAATTTACGTTTTGTGTTTTTGAGGAAATCTTTCTTGATACATTCCTTCACTTGACAATTTATTTTTAAATGAAATAATAAATATATTTTCTGTTAAAGCTCTTCACATCAAAAAAACTTTTTTCGAAGACCATCATTATAAACAACAATATTAACTTTTTTGTTGCAATAAATCGTTCGTAATAGGGAATTTTATGGTACAAATGACATAGTAGATTTTACGGCACGAATTACCGCCAACATACATTCAGCGCATACATTCGCAGCGAGAGAATTGTGAGTCAGTAGCGGTAAACGGAACAGTCGACCACTGTTTTCATGAACAGATGTCAAATAACCGAGACGTCACAAGAAAATTCTTTGGAAAAATTAAGTTTGATTTTCTTATAAATTTATAATGCTTTTCTACAAAAAATAGTGTATGCAATTCGTTTATAATTTTGCTGTATTGCATTCATTCAAATTTGAAAATTCTCTCCGAATGCCGAACGTTTTCAAAACCTGTACTCATGCAATACAGCTTCACATTCTAAACTAATTGCGTAAACTACTAAAAAACCCATAAAACTGCTTTTACCCGAAATGTCTAAATACGGTACCACTTACATTATCCTTTAACAGCAGAATGTGGAATTTTCTTTTTTTAGAGGTAGCTGGGGGTAATCGTAGATGTGGATAACCGGGAGACTCAAACTGGAAGGCATTTCTTCTATACGTACTGGACCGTATATGTTGTTTGAAGGTAAAGAGTTCTTTCTTCGGAAGCTGAAACCAAACAGAAGAGATTTCATTGCTATTTATTGCTAGAAGTAACCCTAATGCAGCCATGCGCGACATTTCACCGTAAAAAGCACGTATATATTAAATTCGTACGTATTATCAACGTAAGTAGCGCGAGTAGTTTGCAACCCTTCACATATTTAAATTTTGCAAAATGAGTCGAAATAACGATTGAGCAGTTAGAAGAAGAATTGACAATTTTATCCCCAATCTTCAGATATTTGTTTAATGAGCAAATCTTTAAATTTTGTTTCTTTTACATGAAACACCCGGGACATTTTCAAAACTTTCTCAAACATTGCTCAAAATATTTCTTCGTAGTGAGACAAACTCCTCTCAAAAAGACAAGACGTGAAATAACAGTGCAGCGGCAGTGAGGCTACACTCTACGAACACAAGGAGACACAAACACAAAAGCACTTTCGCAACACCCCCACTATCCACTGACGAAGAAAAGGGCCGGATGAGAACTAAAGTTGAAACGCAGTACTGTAGGATACAAGGCAACCTAACGAAAGGACGAGAAGGAAATCAACGAGAGTATAGATCTGTTTCGCCGTCACCGAAAATAAATCACAAAAACATTTGCGAGCAACTGAGGAAAACGATCTAATTTCCCAATTTCAAACTCGCACTATTACCAAAAACTTGACTGCCATCACTGCAGCGTAATTGACGGAAAATGATTCAAATTAGTAACGTAAGACTCTCCTCCAAAACATTTTTTTGAGCTCTCTGACACACTTGCCAAATTCAACTTCTCCTCCATCACGTCTCCAAAAATGAAAAGGCGAAATGAAGAATTTTTTTGAACTAGGAAGTAAACACACAGGACGTTAAAGATATAAAATCTAACATGAACTTCCAACAGCATCGCATTGTTGCTGTTGTAATGCTCCAACGGTGTAGTAATTGGAATTTGCCACCCGAAAATTGCGCAGGTGCGTAGAATCTTCGGGTACAGTAAGCAGTACGTCTGTCTGCGTACCAGCGTCAAGGCATTTTTGACCAAACCAAAAATATCACATCCAACATATTCCTTCATCAACCCCATTGAAGCACACTTAATCCACCCTTTAGACGATCTTCAAATCCCACTGCCAAGGCTCTAAATGATATAACAAACACCGAAAACAGGGAACTTTACAATTCCTTCCCATTAGAACCCCGTATCAATTTACAACTACCACCCTACCCTACTCTCTTACTCAAGTGCCTCCTCTTGCCTATTTGCTGAATACATCAGCTTCACCCACCCAGATAGGGAAAAGTGCGGAAAAATGAGTATCAAAGAGTATTGTATGAAGCAACAAAAATATGCTACTTACCTTGTTTTATAACAATACGTCGAAATACATTTTTAATATTCAGTATTTATTTAATACAAACCTTATTCCTAATAAATAAATGAATGAGTATACCGATTGTTAATAAAATAATATAATTTATAAAAAATGCATACTTTTTTACGAACGTGGACGAGAATGTTTTCGAAAGTATATAATAATTCTATGGTCTTACCTCGCGCAGAGGTAAGCAATGGCAATGAGCAGAAGGATGGAAGACATTCCTCCCACCAACACTAAGATCCAAAGGGGTAGCACAACGTCTTGGAGCATTAAGTCGCTCGCATGCCGAGCTTGTGCCTTGGTCTGCTCAGTGCTTCTCTTCGCGCTCACATTGACAAGGCTTTCTGCCACTTCGGAGTCCGCCAGCAGGATAATTCTCATAGGTTCCCCCTCCTCATGCTCGTCAACGTCGTAGCGTTTCGTGCGAACCTGCAAAACCACTTCGATTCAAACGCCGTTCTCCTTTTCTTCAGAATTAACACTCTGAAATTGATCGATTCATTCATTAGTGACTCGGAGCGCATACACTTCTAAGGTCATTCATTATTCCTGTAAGCGTAGTCCATGACACCCCCCGGAACTTCTCCTGCTGGATGGTGAGATCCGGCGCCGACCTACCTTTGGCAAGCAAAGTTGTATCCTATCAGGCATGTTCTACCAGCGGGGCATCGCTCCTAAGCCGGGACAACCTCTAAGTCCCCGACCGGTCTCTCGGTGTGTGTGGTAGTGTAGTGCCTGTAATTAAGTGAAAATGTGTGTAATTATGGGGTGAAGATGTTTGTAATTAAAGGGACCGTGACCCGTTTGTTAGTGTACAGCTCTGGTATTCACAAGGAGTTGATGGGAGAAACCGCTGGAAACTATCTATCGGAGCACCGGGCCGCTAGAATTTGCCTCGAGATAACGGATAACTCCGAGCAACTAACGGACAAGCCAGTGCTGAAAATCTTGCCACTGTAGGGACTCGAATCTAGGACCTCCCAATCGGAGGCACTGCGCTAACATCAGTTGATGCCCTTAACCACCGATCTCTGGAATTTAGACATTTAGGCATTTAGTTACTGGTTATGATCCAGGAGCTGTGTTCCTTCATTTCGGACAACACTCTCTCAATGAATTCAGTTAACTTTACGGCCGTATATCATAAACTCATTCTTTTGTTTTCCTAATTTAAGGCCTGAATACATTTGATTTTCAAATTCGTTTGACAAACTACATTTTCATTTTAAAACAATTTCATTATTGCTCTTTTAGATCAGCTAATATTAGAATACGATAATAAAAAACCGGATTCAACTACGATGAGAAATCTGCAAAATTTAAAAATAATATTAGCATGAAAATACGATTTAACTATTTTAGTATTAAGATAAATTATGCTGTATACATGTATTTGTTTCATTGAGTCAATTGAGAATATAATGGCAAAACATCTAAGCAATAGGAAGATAAGTCGTTTTACAGAATCCGTTGCTGGAATCTAAATTTGAGATATCAATTACGCTTTTGTGCGTTGATTTTAGAGAGCTAGAGAAGTGTAAATGCTACGCCTAAGCTCTCTTCATGACGAAGCAACATCGTCGTGGGAAAAGAGTAAATGCCAGAGATGTATCTTTCTTTGTGATCTCCATCAGATGTGTCGATGGGTTCAAATTATTATGACGATGTTTACGGCCCTGCAAATATTCATCGCCAACAAATATTGTCATGAAAAAAAGTAACTCTATAAAAACTATCTAAGGTATTAAAAGCACTGTTTTTTAAATAACCTTTATGGAAACTTTTCAAATCTGGAACAGAACGTATGTATTTTTTGTTTCCCATAGGTGAAACGGAAGCATCATACTCAAACCACATAAGCCTTTTGAATTTCAACAAAAATTTAATTGTTCCGGTGTTTAAAGCATGCAAAACAGGAATTAGAAAAAAGAAAAAGGATATTCTAGGAGTCTAGAGCTACAAAATGCTAAGAGGCACAGTTTTGACACGTAATAAAAATATTTTTGGTGAGTTCTTGAACATGAGGGTGAATAAAAATGATATATGTTCATTGAAACTATGGCTCCTTTATCGTGTGAGTGGATATCCTTTCATTCTCTCGACCCTAAGACATATATAGTTTTCTTAATTGAAAAATGCATTTATGTAATACAGATCTCCCTTCATGAAGTAACATATTTTTGTTAAAAAATACTTTATAGAAAACAAGCATGTCTTTATTGAATATTTATGGTTTTAAATGTAAAGAGTATTCTTGTAAATTAATGTTTCCTACCATCAATTTCTATCTTGAATGTTTCGTTGGGCAGATACGAAGAATAAATGCTTAATTTTCATTATTTCTTCGTCGACTGACTAATGCTCTCATGACTTGTAATGCTTCAAACAATCGTAGATTAATTTTCTTTTCCTTAATAAATACTGATTTGCATACAACAGAATCGTGTATGTTGCATAAAGACAGTTAGCAAATATGAGCCCAAAGATATATTCAGTTTGCTTGTAGCATCGTAAACGTTGCATAACTGCACCCTGGAGGCACTTAATACGGAATATCGTAATCCTAATATTTTCCCGTTTTCATTAAAGACTTTAATTTCAATCACGCTAAAGTTGTTCGGTGTTTAAGATCTTAAATTTATAAATACTTCTTGTACTAATTACTTTCTATTTTTTTCAATATCCTACTAGTAAAATTGTAATATAAGTTTAAAATTATCACAGAAGAATGAACATTGGCTCTATGCAAATTTTTTTTTCACAATTTAGATTTGGTTTTGAAAAAATATCGTTTGAGCGTATCTAAAAATGCGCAAATTTCAGGTCATTTTTACAAAAAAAAAAAAGGTTTTAATTTTCAAGCAACTTCTTTATAAATCATTTAAAGCACATGTACTTATTAATCCCTTAATGTATAAAAAACGCTCAAATTGCCAATATTAGCGAAGTGAGGGATATTTAAATACAATTACATTTGAGCACATTATGAAAAATCAAAATAATACATCATAAAGGTGTGTAATTCAGAACATTATCCGTACAAAACTCCGTTAAAGAGAAAAAGTGTGTAGGGTTCCTACGGTAAGGGTTCCTAAGGTAGGGTTCCTAAGGTATCCCCAAAAATTTACATTTATACATTTAAACTTCAATAAGTCTTGAAAACACCGAGGTCAATCGGGGAATATCAATTTGAGTGAAAGTCTTGCCTAAGGATTAGCTGCTAGCGTTGTTCACAGAAGGACTGGTGGACAGACAGCCCGGCAGAAGTTTTGCCGTCAACCAATGTTTCGGCACAAAGAGGCCACAGAACGTAGATTCTAAGCTAGAAACGTGTTAGGAGAGGTACTGTTCTACATATTGGGACAATATTTATCCACTTTCTCGATTTCATGGCGTCTTTTTTGCGGCAGTATTACAATGCATCATCTACACTATCTGGAATGAAAGCAAGAAAAATCTTATCAAGATAACTAATTTTTCTTTTCAAATAAATAAGGTTGGGAATAGTTGGTACGTGTTATTTATTTCAATTTCAGTATTAAAAAGGTAATGTTCATTTTTTAAAACTCGTATGGTTTTCGCGAAATTTCTGATCGAAACTAATGAGAATTATAGAAAAATGTCTGACATACGAATCCAACTAGTTTCGAATAGACTAAATGCCCTTAAAAATTGCACAAGTCTTTTGTTGAACTTACTCAATTTTCGAAAGTTGAAATAGTTAGAAATAACGCTGAGAAAGAATATGATGTAGTAGAACCATTTGTTAATAAAGTGAACCCATAGTGTATTAGGACAATAAGTTTAAGAAAAGGAAATAGTGTGCACATTTTCCACTGAAATTTTTAGTTTAATCTATTGTACAATGGAAAAACAAAGTATGACTGAAGATCTAAGTACAACTGTGAGTTTACCTCCACTGTGTGTTTCCGGCCAGGTTGCACGCGATCCGTGAACAGCACACAGAATTCAGAATCCGGGCATGGATGCGACGGGTTGATGCTAGCGTATCCAACACGGGAGTTAATGATGCCGAAAACTTTTTCAGGTCCTGGCGGAAGGTCGACTACATTGTAGCGCACCAGGAAAATCAAAATGCTTCTACACAATTCTGTCGGCCGATTCCACCTCACATCCAACCAACCAGGTCCTGCGCCGCCCTCCCTCAATGCTGCAACAGGCGGGGGTACAGCTGTGGAACAAACAGAGTTTTGTTATCTTTAGATAACGGTGGCAAACTTTTTGCACTTATTTCAATCTAAGAAATGCATAACTAATTCCATACTGTGTGAGCTGAAACGCAGAGAAAACTGAGCATTACACGTACATGTAAAAGTGTCAATGGTTTTGTTACATACCCAGGATCTCGGGAAAATCCAAAAACAATGAAACATAACATTTTCACTAAAAAGCAAATATTTGATTATGTTATTGTGACATTTCTCACACTGCGCAAACCGGCAAAATTCACTCACAAGGGACGGGCAGGTGCAGATCGAAAACTGACCTATGTTTTTTCTACTGAAAAATATTTAATATTTATAAATGCTGCAAAAAAAATTAGCCGACCTCGGGCGCTGGAAGTTATTGAAAAACAAACAAAGAGTTTGATCTGTACAGCATTGGCCGCGATGTTTTTGCTGACGCCATGGATAACTCTCTCAGCAGCAATCAGTGTGACCGCAAATGACTCATATAGTGCTGTCATTGCTCGCTAAACTGAAATCAGTAGTGCATTTCGAGGAACAATGTGCAAGTACAGACAATCTGCAGATTTTTTTTTAATTTTATTTAATTTCTACGAATTATTGACCATTAACACGACAATCTATAATTTTATAAGATTAATCCAAATCATTGATTAGGTTATATTTAGGCCAATTTATTTATATATCAGTTAAAATGTAGAATTATACAGTTCGATTATTGAAGTTAAATTTTAATTTTTTAAATGTATCATGTTGTAATTTGATTTAATATTCAGAAAAGTCGCCTCAAAATGAGTTGCCAATAGACAAAATGCGATGAATTCGGCAAGGCGGTTTTTAGCAGTCCTGAAAGCGATTAGCTCATTGATTATAATAATATAAATCAACCAAACATTGCCTTCCAAGGCACTCCCAGCCGTCTTGTCGAGCGAAACAGTGATAGTAGCAGGTGTTGTTGTTTTTGAGCTAATTCATCAGGTGACACTAGCATGGATAATGATCAAAATGACAGTTACTTGTCCAAACGCCTTCAATTCTACCATCATACAATGATGTGTCTTTATCAAATTTGATAGAAGGTTGGCAAACAATGTTCACTCTACTTGTACGCCACTGGCACACTTTGGCATCACATCCGGCTTCTGTTTCTTAATGCCGAAGAACTGGTGCCCTGAAGATTAGGTGGAAACAATGCGATAGCATTTCATAAAACAATAATAAGACCGCTTATGCTCTTTCCTGCCTAATATGCATCAATGCTTTGCAAACATAAATGAATTAAAGTGATGCAAAACAAATTCCTCCGAATAGCAAATGCTCCTTGATTCATTTCGAACAGACAGCTCAATAAAGAATTAAACCTACCATAATTCACAACAAAGATCACATCTCTGGTAACTTCTGTAAAAAATATAAACTCAATAGCCCAAGCCGATCACTATATCTAGCATCGATTAACTATTTTCCTACCCGTATTAAAAACATATTCCCATTAGAAGCATTCCTAAATATTTTTTACACAATAGCTAACATAGTAGGACCTCTATGAGTCTTTTACATTAATTTGAAGTTAGTATAGCTAATTGTTAAGTTGGAATAAGAATATTTAAGTCAACAAAACACATATGAAGAATTTAATGATACACAAACTATGTAATCATTAACAATAAATAAATAAATTGAAACGATTAGGCGCTGTGCCATTGCGGACTTGTCAATAGCGTGAACAATGGCATTAGCTTAGTGTTTCGCTGCCCTAAATTGGAACTCCTGCCAGTAGGAGCGCTTATTTCCTCGGTGATCATTCTCTCACAGATGAGAGGGCTGCACAAATCCTGTGCAAATAACAATTATCATCGTGAAAATTGTGGAACTTTTGTATATTTAAGTGGCTTCCTGTCTGTAACGGTAGCTAATATTTTTCCAGCACTCAGAAATAATCTATTTATAGAAAAAACGAGGCTAGATTTCGATCTGCACCTGTTGAAAGGTCTCTTGTTAGAGCATCACTGCTTTCATCGCTTCTGCCGTCGTGCGATAGCAAGGTACCGACGAAGAGCCCTCACTTATATATTTTGCTATTCATATGTTTTGTCATGGAAAATCAATTCTTTCGATGTTATTGATAGTACATAGAGAACTGATTTTGATAAAATATTTAATTTTAGTGGTGCTGTGGGAGAGTGTTTTAATTTTTGTTCTTAAGTATTATAGGCGCTAGTTTTTAGGAAACCTTTTTGTGTGATTTTGTTCTGCAACGTATTTTTGCCGCAGATCACGAATTAAGTTGTCAGAGAAAGTCTGTTCATTGGCCATTCACAATATCAGAGGTTTTAGAAAATACGAGTAGTGTATGAAGTGTAAAAAACAAATCTACGTGCTTTATAAAAGCATTGATATACTCATTTTTGCTTCTTGCTAACCGTGGAGAAAGCGATAATTCCATTTGTTTGACTTTAATATTAGTTTAATTTCAAATTGTAAGAGAAACAAGTTTCCAGGTTTAAATTAATAAGTTTAAATGTACTTTTATGTAATAAACATTTTTCATTTTATTGAGACACGTATGGTTGTATGCGTGTATAATTTCTCTCGTAAAGAGTTGTTCTCACACCCAATGTATCTTTACATATCTACATGCTATTTTTAAGTTAAATGTCTTGCAAATACTGTAAATATACTTACTTGGACAAGTCCTACCCTCTGTTATCGCCGTGTAGTTGCCTAGATGAGGCAAAAATGCTCGAATGTAATAGAGCGTGTCGGGCAACAACCCTTTCAAAAAATAAAGTGCATTGATATGGCGGTGTTTTCCAACGTTGGTCAGTGGTTTCCAAGATTCATTTAATGATTGCTGAAAATGGCACAATGCGTTCAGCAAAAATTTATTTCAAAAATTAAAAACATATAAACGGACAGATTATGTTTAAAGCACTCATCACTAACATCAAAACCAAAAAATAAAAAAAAGACGTGGAGGAAAAATAAGTTGAGCATATAAGTTTAACACAATTTTGTCACCACCATTCAAACCCGAATCATGATAACTCCAGCTTACAGATGATGGGTTTGGAAAGGCTCAACCTGTCTTCTCTCATTTTACTTCTATTTTAAAAACGAATTTTTAATTTTTCAAGTAATTTATGTTTACCTGTTATAAAAGCACAGTGTACAACGCTTGAACGAATTTCGACCATAAAAAGAACCCAACAAACTACGCGATATAAAATTGATAAAAAGTGGAATATTGTAAGAAACATTATACTTTAAATGGGAAGTCAAATACAAAGAAATAAATAAAACTTTAACCCAAGCTTTCAGAAAGGAAAGACAGTACAATACTCACACTTCTATCTGGCTGCCTGTCAACTACCAATAATATTTGAAATTCAATTGATTGTGAAACCTAAGAAATATCTCACGTCATACTAAAACTAGTGGTTCAACCGCACATCCTTTCTTGCAGTATTTCTAAATTTGCAATTTTCAATAAATCAGAGAGTTCAACAATAATGGAACCCAATTCATTCTCTTAAGCTTTTCTGGTTCTTTCCGTGTAAAACTATTGAAGTAAAAATTTGAAGCTGATTCTACAATCAGATTCAAATTTTTTGCTACGCAAAAAAATCTACTCGCCTTTTCAAAAAATTGTATATGACCTCTTCTTCAAGATAAGATTTTTTTAAACAGATTTTGTTTACTTCAAAAATATCTATTTTGAAGTAAAAATATCTGTTTTGAAATGTTAATATATTAAGAAATTCAGAGTTAACCGTTAACCGGAGTCTAGCGCAAATGTTTGTACTATTTTAAAAGAAGAGAATAAAGAGAAACTTTTGTAATACCACGGCGGAAATTTGCAATTCTTCGACAGAAAAAATCAGTATGTTCCTTATTGTCGATCTCTGGTTGCGAAAAAAAGAAAACTCTTGTTTCCATGCATGTAAATTACTTCCTGTAACACGTTGTGCAGTCAGAACGCACGTGGACGCCAAATAACCGATTGTCGGCAAAAGTCTGTACGCCAGTTCGTGTGGTCAACGCTAGCGCATGAATCGAAATTTACTCCAAAATTGATATTCCCCATCGATCTGAACTAACCCAAAGCCAAAAATATCGCTAATGCTATTTAATGGCTTGGTTTTACATTTGGACAGACCTATCATCTTTCAAGGCTGGTTTTCAATTACAGTCTATCGATTAGAAATTTGTGATGGACAGTTAGCGTTAGGGTAGGTATTTGTGTGGTTTTCCTGGTTTCATAACTGTTGTTCGACACCATTTGATTTTGGGAGGTAACTTACATGATGCGTCAATATTTTCAAAATGTTCTAAAAAATGGTCAAAATATTTTAATTGAACGTTTCCCGCGGATAGCATGGAAAACGCTTAAAAATTACGCAAATCTAATTTTCAAAGAAATCTCCCAATTTACGACAATTGCACAAGTTCAAACTTTTGTCTGTCGGCGACTTCCCACCATATTGAAAATAGGGGGGTTGTTCTCTACACTCGACTAAGTTTAGAAATCGAAGACTCTACACTACTTACAACAGGAGAAGTACCTGAAGTGCTTAATATCAAGACTTAATAAGATATAAACACGACTTTTATTGAGATAACAAAGAGGAAGATTAATTACCTTCAGGTAAACTGATTTTCAGAAATATTAAATGTGAAGAGGAAAAACGTATTTTCTATTTTGTATTTATGTATTTGTAGAGCAGAAAGAGCGAGGTTTGGTTAATGCACTTTCCCCAATATTAACAATACTTTCTGTTTTGAGTTCTTCCTGTAAAGTTTAACTTGCAAAAATAGTGCGTTACCACGATAGGAATAATAAACATGCACAATTGGCAAACAAATTGGTGATATATACGGAGTATGATACAGTGTTTCAATTTTTCCTTGTTATTTCATTATCGAGCATTAAATATTGAATCGGTGGATGCGTGGTTTGGGCATGTACCTCGGGGCATTTTGTTGGGACATTTACCACGTGAAATTTTCAGATCGCAAATTCTCTCTATTTTCTTCCCCATTTCTTTCAAAAGGATACAAATCTTAGAAACTCATATATGGTAAAACAAATAAATAATAATATTAATATTTAAATAATAGACAATATAATTATTAAGCATGAGATAATGTAATAGAAACTCACACAAAAGATGTGTGAGCAATAGTTAATCAGCGGGGACAGATATTACCGCAGCAGTGGGTTGTGTGTAATGAACTAGATTTGATAAATCAAAAACATTATTGGGTAATGAGAAACCGGGCATATCTTTGGGGACTTTGGCTTTCAATTTTACTTTTCAAAATTGCAGGATAATTTTGGGAAGACCAGAGCCTAATCTTCTGAGTATACGCACGAAGAGATACGATACGTAGTATTGATTATGAAACCAACCGAATAAAACTTTGTAAATTGTTCTAAGAAAGGACAGAATAATGGACGCAAGTTGACAGCGATGGTTGGGGAAGGGGAATAAGAATCAATGGAAGATTCTTTCCTGTGTGTTCAGCCACAGGTTCATTTTAATATATTGAAATTAAGACAATACTACAAATCAACCTAGAATTATGTTAAATTTTATTTATTTGACATCACAATGTAATAAACATCAATTTAAACTGTAACAGATTGAAATAATAATCTAAAATTAGGAAGAGGATGAGTTGTGAGCAAAGTAATATCGTTTCAAATAGTAATAATTCAATTAATAATATAATGAATAAATATCTAAACAAATTAATACAATAGATATGTTCCAGGACGTTCATGTAGCAGTGTGAAGCGCTGCTTCGGACACGTGCTGCGTGGGATAGGAGAGCCGGAGCCAAACAGGGTGCCAGTAGGGGCTTAATCTGGGCTAGGAAGGGAACGCACTTGACAGAGCGTGCCTGGAGTGGCCCCAGCTCCTCGTGGGGGGGGGGGGCGTGACTGGTCGATAATGACGAGGTATGGATTTGGCTCTGAAGACCGGTTGCTTCAGGCACAGCTTTACACTATGTTGACTGGAGGTCTTAGGTTCGGAGCCTCGGCGGTGGGGATTTCCACTCTAGAGACCCCTGGGTCGAAATACCAGCAGTGTAAAGGAGAAGTAGGGCTTGCCGTCGTGGTAGGTTTGTCGATCAATCGTTGCGTGCGAGCAGTATTAAAACTATCTAGACGGAAGTGTGGCTTTCTTCTCGATCCGCATTCTTTCTTTAAGCTCCTAAGAATCAAATAGCACACACTATTTGTGAAACAATCATTAGATGCTTTGGATGGGGTCCCAGCGTCTCAGGCTCCATACTAATTTACATTTTTTGAGGTGGTCGATTCTTGGAGCGGATCAATTGAGGGTTAATCGATGACGAAGAAAGCTCTGACTTTAATATGAGAGATGCGGATGGATTAGAAAAGATAATATTTGCTGGCGTTTACTGGTGTCTTGCTTTTGATTTTTGACGCACCTGAAAAAAAATGAACAGTAATGGTTTAATACGATCTGAGTTACTGATTTTATATCCGAGCGCGCTTTTGATACTAATAGGCCCGAGTAGTACGAAACAAAAGTGGTTTACTCGAATTTGATTTATGTGATGGAAAAAATAAAAATAGTAATTGGCATAATTAATAAGTAAATGGAAGGACTATGATAGAGACTGGATAAGAAGTAGGAGAAAAGTAATAAGTTTGCAACAAGTTGCAGAGAGTAAGATTGCCTTGCAGAGCATCGAAATGATGTGTGGTTAAAATGTTATTTTAAATTTTGAATTGCATGAGACCATTGATAGTGAGGAGAATGGAAGAACTTGCCTTGGTGTGCTGGAACCAAACGTCGCGCTGAGATTTCCCATTTTAGACCTGAATCCATTAATTAGTGATGACCTATAAGATATTGTCAAATCAACAATAAATTAACTGCACTGAGTATTTTCCGACGATTTAATAGATTCATTGTACATGGATGCAAAGGTCAATGATCTATAAGAGTTCATCGGAAGCGTGGCGAGGGTCGGATGGAGTAGCAATCGGATCATCTATGACTGTGGGAGATCGGAGCGTATCGGGAGCGGGGCGTAATCGAAGCGTTTCGCTGCGACCGCGTTACTAGGCCGAGTGGGACGGAATTAGCAGCCTGGGAAGCAGACACCAGATTGCGTGAAAACGGAGCCGGGAACGAGTATGACGGTTGTCGATTGTATGCCGTCGGCGTTGATCTTTCGCTCGCGTATTTGACGAGCTGTGTTATAATGTCATTCTAATCACGCGCAATTATGTGATTGTTTGGCCGCTTAATGGAATTGGTGTTTGTCCAGTGGTGCGTGATAGTTACCAAAACTCTTGTTTATTATGATCGTTTTATTATCAAGCGGAGGTTAATGATAGTCTGACACTGATCTTAAATGCCTCTGCATTTTCAAATGATTGCATAAGCCTTCGTTTGAATTCAAAGAAAAGTTAGGAATTTGACTGCGAAATGATCTAGTGAATAATATTGTGATTAAATAGGAATTATGATGGCACAGAAGTATTGATAATGCGGTATCGTGCTTCTGTATTCTGAAGCTATCTTACATCATTCCTTGAAAAAATATAATAATTTCGTTTTTTCGTAATTACCTCCGTGATAAATTTACTAATATAGTTGTATATTCATTCATTTAATTGTTTATTTTCCTCCTTTTGATATTTTCGTGAAAATATAGAAAATGTGTTGCCTGAAAAGGGTAGAACACGTCACAAAACGTTTAGTACGGATGCCCGTCGAACAAGAATGAAAATTGACAAAGTGTTGTATGTGGAGCGTTAATTAATTTAAGTACTTAATAATTGAAAGTTTAGGAATAAATTGA